CTTTCTCAGCGGGAATTCTTGAAAATATATGTCATCAATTAGGGTTTGCTGGAAAAGAAAACTGATACTACAAATAGGGCACGACGAAGTTTGTAAAACTGATTTACCTACAAGCTATTGAGAAATATTAGGCATTGCAAATTTATATATTTCAACACAATGATTTTTAACTAAGTCTATGGACGAAGAAAAACAAACAAAATATTTGCGAATACAAACACATTGAGAGCTACATKGCTTACATAACTCGGTGATTACACATTATGACATTACACGAGAACGATTTCGTAACTGTAAAATGTTTATCGTATATTTGGTCGCTTTAGAAATCATACATATTGCGTATTAGCAGTACTATTATTTAGTATGTTCAAACAACTAGTAGTATTCGACAAGCATATCTAAGCTATCAAATTAAGGAAAAATTAAGGTTCCCTAGACTACAGCACGTACAAATTAGCCTCTACCTACAGTTGAAATCACAAATTTTTATATGGTAAGAAGTCTTTGATATTGGAAACTTCGAGCTTTTCGTTCCGTCCATTGTGTCAGTGTTGACAGTTTGGTGTACCGATTATAACACGTTTGCAATGCCTCTGCAGTATCAAGCTGTTCACTCTAAATCTCGTTTGAGGCTTCCTATGCTCATACCCAGGTCCTTCTCTACTTTCTCAATGGAAAATGTGTTTATAAGGAGGTGAATTTACATTGACGGTAAATATAATTTCTTTGTTTTTAGGAAAAGACAAGAACTAGAAAACCTAAGGGAAAAGCTAAAAAACACAGATATCAATAAAGATAATGTAGCAATGCAGTTGAAAAAAGCTGAAGAAGAGGTGATAATCACTATATGACCTGGAAATAATGATAAATTAATATTATCAATAATGTCAACATGATTATAAAATTACCTCAAATGTTGGTAATACAAGCCATATATAAATGCATTCCTCTGGTCTGCTGCCTGAGATGTGCATGGCATATAGCCTCCATTTTCGACTATTGAGCCTCTACTAAATGGCGCTAGAACACTGAAATTTTCTAGATAGCCACTTTTTCTTATGCCGTTTAAGTATTGACCAACTAATGTGAAGACTTGAAAAAGGATTTTCGTGGCACCTCAGTTTGATACACTATAGAATAGTGCCGTATATAATTATTTTACTGAAAATGTAAAGTTAACATTAAAATTCCCATCTGTTTTAGATGAAAGCTTTTAAGAAAGAAGATGAACAGCTATCAAAAAATGAAAAGGTAAAAATTATTAAAACAAAGACATTTGACACGGAGTGCTGTTACTCAAAGCAAAGGTACAGCAATATGGTTCTTTCTAAACTGTGTCCTTTAAGATGTGTATTTTGATTCTAAAATTATGCCACAGATGGCATTTCAACCTACTCCTATGAATACTTTTTTCCATAAAGACATGGATCTGTTTTTTTKTTTTTKYTTTTTTTYTTTTTTTTTTTTTTTTTTTTTTTTTTTTTTTTTTTTWTTGTTACTCTCTCTAAACATCGTGATCACATTACTCCTTTACTAAAAGATCTACACTGGCTCCCTGTTCGTCAACGTATTAATTACAAGATTCTTCTACTTACCTTCAAAACACTACATGGTCTTACTCCGTCTTACATTTCTGAACTGATATCTATATACAAATTAACTAAAAGAACACTCTGGCCCTCTAAAGAACTACTCCTATCTGTTAAACCTTACTCCATGAAAACATATGGCTCTCGCTATTTCTCTGTTGCTGCCCCTACTTTATGGAACTCTCTCCCATCTGATTTAAGAAACATTGACTCTTTGCTGTCCTTTAAGAAAGAACTCAAAACTTATTTGTTTAGTTTAGCTTTTAGAGTTTAATTTGTTTGTTAGTTATATCAGAGCGCATAGAACAGACTTGTATATGCGCTATACAAGTTTTCATTATTATTATTATTATTATTATTNATGTATGTAGCTCAGCCTTTTTGTTCCGCAGATTATTAACAAACCAAAACCTAGTGATGGAAATAAAGAACTTACGCCAGAAGAGCAAGAGGAAAGAAGTGTAAGTCGACAAAGGTGTTGCTCAACACTACTAACGACGTTTACTATGCATAAACCTATATTTCAAATTATAAAATTTTTGATATATAACGCACGCTCTGATTGGCTGACGACCTCTGATATAAACACGCTACGCTCGTGTTCCTAAGCTTGCTTCTCTCGTGTTTTTCGAACTTCCACCGTGTTTATATCAGAGGACAGAGACACGCGCGCCGTTATATATTTCTTAACGATACATGTAAATATCATAGTTGTTTCGATTTTTTTAACCGTCGTCTTACCATGGAGATCTGACTTGGTAGCCATTGTCTGTACAATATGGAGCTTTTAAAAGAAACATGGCGTTGCTCTTCATAAAAAAAAATGTAAACGTACAGTGGCACTACCTTACTGATACTCGGATAGACCTGGATATGACTCAGATGTATACGTCCCATAACAGGCAGGTGGGAATTTTGCGCGAAAAAAAATCAAAATTATGCGGTATTTTTCCCTTTATCATGCCGAGAAAAGGATAAATTATGCTGAAAATTATGCGGCATGACGTCATCACAAGAAAATAAAATCTGGGAAATTTTACATATTTTTAGGTTATTGTGTTGTTTTTTTTGTGTGTGTAAAACTACGGTTTTATCTCTAGTCACGAAATATCGATGGCAGTACAAAACGAAAGAAAGATTTTAAACGGTCGCGCTCAGGTTTTCATAAAAAAAGAAATATCCTAGAACATTCTTGGAAGCGATTTTGCTCACTGTTTTCTCTTTATCATAGAAAGAGTTCATGGACAAATACGAGAATGAAATCAAGCATTTTGGGATGCTTCATGACTATGGAGATAGTCGGGACTATTTGATAAAACATCCTCACTTGACGTGTGACGACACCGCCAACTACTTGGCACTATGGTGCATTAATCTACAAGTACAAGAGGTAACTACGTATTATATCAAAACATTCGTGGTGGCATTTTGAGACCGTTGCAGCGCGACAGTTCGAAAGAAGTCGTTTGAATTTGTCTTTTCCTACAACGTGGCGACTTGAGGGAAGGGGTTGGAATTTAGAATAAATCTACCAATGACTGAAGAGATTTACGAAAAGATACGACCTATAAGTTTCACATGTGAAAATAGCACGTTATCATGACTTCCTGACTTCGGGCCTTTGCTGGTTTCTTCTTTTTTCCAATGCGGGACGCAAAACAAGAGACATCAGCCCGGTCGACCGGGGCAGCTTACTACAAATCATCAGGGCCTAATATCTTTGAATTGGATTTTATGTATAGTTTAAAACACGAGAGAGAGTGTTTTATCAAGTATAAAGATTCGAGCCGAAGGCGAGAATCTTTATAACTGATAAAACATGATCTCGAGTGTTTTAAACGGCTTAAAAAATTCCAACACTAATTTGAAACTCAAATCTGTTAAAATTCTTGGAGAAATTGCCGTACAAATATGTTCAGAGATAAATGGGGCAAACTGATCATGCGCGAATCACTTTACAAAGCACTCTTGTCATCCCACATTGAATACGCATAAATTAAAATAGAACCGCTCTTGGCTGTTCACTGAAATCGGTTGACATCCTGCATTGGTCAATGATCAGGTTTCAAACCTGAGACCTTTGCTAGGGTCATGGACCTTTATATCTGATAAAGGTCACCCTTATTAGTATTCTTTATATAAAGAATACTAATAAGGAGTGTTTTATCAGATATAAAGGTCCATGCATGTGACCAAATAGGCTCATTCTATTGGCCTAGTAGCTCATTAATTATGTTTGAGTTTTTTAAAGAATAAACAACATTACATAGGCGCTTGAAGATACGAATTTTATCGTTAATGTTTTTTAAAAAATTGATTTATCATATATAATCATCCATGGAATACCTATATTTCTCAATTTCCACGATTTTAGGTAACTCTGAAAGCATTCAGCATGCACATTTTATGAAATGCAATATTGTGTTGTTCTTGATGTTCTACAGAAAGAGGCATTGATGGAGAGAGTTGCACATCAATGTATCATAATCCAGTACATCTTGGAACTCGCAAAACAGCTCCATTCAGATCCTAAAGCAACTGTCCCGTCCTTTTTTACAAAGTAAGATTTATCAATAGTTTGCAATATATTACAGTGACAATATGCTCAGCTGAATTGACATTTGACGTCAAATTTGTACTAATTTTGTAGCAGAAACCGTGGAACGTCCTTCAGATCATCTTCGTTCATTAATATGAACACCAAAAAACCCGTGAAATAGAAATTACATTAATACACATTTGTATGCTTTTTTTATGCAATTAAAATTGTATTGTTTTCTTTTGTGTCTATTTGACTATCACACTTTCATAGTTAAGTTTTGTTTCACGGGTTTAATGACTATGTTGTAGTTCAGGTTCAATATATTTTTGAACCAGTTTAATCTAATTTGTTCCAGTACAAGACTTCTTGTACTGGT